TAGATGATATATAACTCCAATACATTATGATAACCTTCCATCTGTTTATAATCATTGTCCGTAACAAAATTCAAGAAATTTCTAATGAGCCCCTTATTCTAGTTTACATTAGATAGATAAATCATTGCTGCTTGAATGGGTTTTTGTTTTTGATTAGCTTCAACCCTGATTTGAATCACTAATAATATTTCAACAGGTGTGTGTGTGTGCGTATGTATTTCTGTATACATGCACACACACCAAATGCTAATATTAGTTCATTTCCTCACTAGTAATTTATAGCATTTTTTCAGTTATCCAACAACATCATGCACTGATAGAACATCAGTGATGATACATATTGCCTCAACCATGTCTGAATAATAACAGGTTTGTGTACAATAGCTTTAGTTTCTTCCTACAAATTCAAAAGTTCAAAGGTCTATGGAGACTCTCAAGTCATCCAGGTCATGGTTGTCCCAAAGGTGCTTTTTCAAGTGGCAACTGGACTTTCTGGTTTTTCTTTGAAGACATTTCGCTTCTCATCCAAGAAGCTTCTTCAGCTCTGATGACGTTTCTTGGATAAGAAGCGAAATGTTTTCAAAGAAAAAACAGAAAGTCCAGTTGCCACTTGAAAAAGCACCTTGGGGGAAAGTTCAGAGGATTCTAAACAATACAAAAAGATTCAGTGGAGAAAACTAAATATGTAATTGTAAACAACTGTCTGAATCTCAGAGACATGGGTCTTGATCCTTTGATCTAGCGATAAGATTTCAACCAGATGTTTTGACCAAGAGGCCTCCAATTGTAATTATTGTTTTTGCCTACATCAACCATTGCAGTTGTGTTTATGTTGTTGATTGTTAAAGTGCCATAATTTTGAACAAATTTATTTGCAGCCTTTACCTCGATCACACTGGCAGCTCCCAGGCAAACAATAATAAAATATAATTCTTCATAAAACAAGAAACTGTATCCATAAAACTGAAACCTAGGATATATAGCTTTGATAAAAATACATGTTAGGAGGATGCAACAAATCCTGGGATATTTTTAAACTGTTCATTGCTGCAAGGTGCCAGGAATGCCTCCATGGGGGAACAAGTTATACATTAGGATAGCTGTCACTAGCAATTGGAGAAAATTAAGTTTATTATTTATTGTCATCCATCATTTTTTTATATCAGATGTCTGCCATTTGAAATTGGGTATTTAGATAGTGCTTAAGCTTAGGACATGCATAATCTTTACACCTGTTGAGGTGATGCTATTCCAAAGGCCAATTTTTCAGTGCCTTCTACATGCTGATCATCACTTTTAAATGAGTTTCTCCTTTAATCAGGAAGGCTGAAAGAACTTTCCGGCTTTCAGAGAGGGATTATGGTAATGAACAAAAGCTTAAACCTCCCCCAAATAATGCTGTGCTTTCTAGCAATTGCAAACCAGATGACATGAGTCTTTAGCTCCTGCTTACCTGTTTCATGATTTCAGCTGCTGTGTCATGTGAACAATCAAATATCACAAAGAACTCTCTGCCCCTCTTCATCTCCTTGAGTAATGGCCGAGCATCCTTATTTCCAGAGGGCAATTGGCGTATTTTAATTTTAATGTTATACCTTGAAGGGGCTTTGATGAGCTCTTGCAGACGAATTAGACCTAGAAAATGACATCCAATCATTCAGATGTCCTTTCTGTTCAATGAATCTTTGCTGCCATTTATATTCAGCATTTAAATTCACTGTTCTGCAACAAATTTCAAGTTTGCACAAAATAAAAACTTAATTTGATAGGCTATAATTGATCACATAATTCATTGAGACAATTTATAGACGTTTTTCCCTTCCTTTTCTGAACTTTTATGAGATATGCATTCAAACAAGGTTTTTGGGAAAGCCAACTCTACATCAGAGAGTTTTACCAGGGTCATTGTAAATTTGGGTTTTTCTTTTACTACCATTTTTTCTCATAAGAAGAAAAATAAATTAAGAGGGAAAGCTGAAAGATGTATTTTAGTGCTATAGCATCTATATCTAGAAAATGAGTAGAAACTATATAGCCCTCTAATGAATTGACACATTTTCCTGTGGGAGGTTTTTGTTGTTCTTGTTAAATGAGTTTTATTACTTAAAACAGGGAATGCAAGACCAATCCACATGTAGACTTTGAACAAAGCCATAGCCAAACAGTGGGGAGGACTAGGACAAAATCTGCTATCTTTGCACTGCGAATGGTAATTAGCCAAGCAGGACATTTCATAATTTTATTTCACATTAAAAATTAAAATTTAATGACAAACTTTGGAAAATATTTTAGGAGCTCATGTGTTTCATGTAAGTACACCATAATATAAGTATTGCCATTAAAAAAACCCTCTTAAATATCCAAGATCACTGAACAAAAATAGCGCACAAATGGAAAAACGTTTCATAAAAAATTCAGCAAGTGAACTGTTGCAATACACAGCACTATTTTTTTTATTTTTTATACTTTTTTATTACAGTAGAGACATAAAACCAACAGGAAAAAACAAAATGATAATGAATAAAGAATTATTTATTGATTAAAATAAACTAAAGAAAAGGAAAAAAAAGATCCTAAGAATAGCAACATAAAATTAATGTACTGTTAAACATTACCAACTGCAAACTGTTAATATGAAAATATTTTGCTTTCAGTTTCTTTGCTGGTCAGTTTTCACCAGCACTGACATGTTCCAAATGTTGCCTTTAGCGTCAGGGACAGTGTGCATGCAACCTAGGGAATTTTGGAACTTGAAGTCTATATACTTCAAAGACGCCCAGGTTTGGCAATGCTGAGATAGGCAGCAAGATGAGGGAAACAGCCAAGTGACTCCCTAGTAATCTAAGATTCAAAAGGAGATATCAAAGTGAAGGAGACAGAATTGTGGTAGGTTTGGCAAAGGAGAAGTGGAACAGTCACTCCAAGGTCATAGAGGGAATGAAATTCAGAAAAGTTAAAGTTATGTAGCAAGATAAAGGGTGGGAGGTACATTTAAATATGGCACAACTGGGTTAGAAAGGTTAGAAATGCCTAATGTTTTGCTAGTTTGGCCAAGCACAGAAACAGAAGGTACAAGGTGGCCTACACAATGTGAGCTGACAAACAGCTTCCCTTTTTATGCATTATTTATACTATATTTCTGTAAATAACTAAACAAGAAATGAAAACATAATGAGATGCTACACATGAAAAATAGTGCAGAGGTATCAAATGCAGAAATTTAAAGTGGGAGAGGATGCTGGAGAAAATGCACACAGTTGAATATTCTCTATGTTTCCTCAGAAAGTAAAGATGCTTCTAGTAGTATTACTATTGTTATTAAATCAGGATGCACATCTTTTTTCATATTGAGAAAGTTGCTAAATTTAAATGGTATTCCAGAATTACAATCCAAAAGGAATTTTTGTAAAAGAAGCATTTGTAAAGTTAAATTTGATTTCATGTTATTTATATTAAAATTTAATATAAACTATTTGATACCTGTAGTTTCTAACGATGTTTTTAATATTTAATAATATTTCATTTTATTTATTTGTAGCCCACCTTTACTATTTTTACAAATAATTCAAGGCAGCAAACATATTCAACATACCTTTTCCACCTGTTTTTCCCACAACAATAACTCTGTGAGGTGGGTTAGGATATATTATGGGAGGAAGCTAACTGCTTCCAACATATAGATATAGATATAGATATAGATATAGATATAGATATAGATATAGATATAGATATAG